ACTAAGCCCTTGTAAACCAACTACTCCTACGCGTACTAGAATAGGAAGAGATAAATCCTACACATAAGGGGTGCAACTAGAATGATCAATATTAACCATATATATGACTTCAGGTGGTCTGTTCCAACACACCCTCGATTTAGCTATTGTTTTCTTCATAATCCTCGTGTAATTCAAGCACACTAATAGACATTACAGCCCGCATGATAGGTTGCACATTTTCACCATTTGTTAATTGTCGTCTTTCCCACCATATGAACTATGCCATATTGAGAACTAGCTCGCGAATACTGATCTCCGGGGACAAGGACACTGCATGGACGTTTTTAGCAACTCCTCCAGCACAATGGCCCCAGCACGATCCGTACTTAAAGCCTTCTCCAGTTCATCTTTGAGTCCTAGCTCTTTCCAAATTTTCTTAGCTCGTTGACATGTAAGAAGCATATGATTTGAATCCTCAAAACCCAACAGGCACAATAGACACTGTCCAGAATCACTAGCATACCTTTTAGCCAGAATTCCTGCACATGGTATTGAATCCTTTATCACTCGCCAATTGAAATTTTTAACTTTTGGTGATACATTTGCTTTCCTGATTACATCCCAAACCTCAGGGTTTGTCGATCCACCGACAGCCTCCACGTAAACAATGTTATTTATGAACTTATGAGACCACTCTCCATAGTACACTGATTCAATACAAAAATTCCTTTTTTTAAGTTAAGCCATGCCACAAAATCTTCCCGATTATCCGCTAAGGGGATTGACAATATTTCTGGAGTTTCAATTGGCCAAAATTTACACCTCACTAGCTCCTCGTCCCACTCACTTGAAATTGGTTTATTAAATCATTAAATTTGTGCACCAAATTAACACCTTGGAGTAACAACATGATGATCATGATGATTCGGTATCCAACTACCACACCAAATATCAATTTGAGTTCCATCACCTGCTCACGATACATACCCCCTCTTAAAAGCTTATAACTGTGACATGATACTTTGCTAGGTAAATGATGCGCCGCTCTTCATTTTTTGCTGTCAATAAATTTCTGTCTGGATTTGCTCTAAGAACAGTAGCACAAAGGGAACCTGGGTACTCCATTAGCATCCAACAGTGTTTAGCCAACATAGCCAAGTTAAAGCAGTGAAGCTCCCTAAAGCCCATTCCACCACTCAGTTTTGGCAAGCAAAGTTTCCACCATGGCATCCAGTGCATCCTCTCTTATCTTGTTCATTACCCCCACCAATACCCCGCAATATCATTAGAGATTCCTTTGAGTTTTTTTAGGAATTTTGAATACCGTCATTGCAAAGATGGCATAGCATGAGCAATTGATTTATAAGAGTCCCCTTCCACCCATAAGACAAGAACTTCTCCTTCAATCCCTGAATAATGACACATACCTTGTCAACCATATATTGAGAACACTCAGCCTTATCAGCTCCCACCATGGTTGGAAGACTAATATATTTTTCATTAAGCAATTTTGTCATTATATTCAGGATTTGGCACACTTCCGCTTTTGCATTTACCTCAGTATTTGGACTAAAATAAATGTTGCATTTTGGATCACTCACCATCCGGCCTGAACTCAAATAGCAAGTATCTAGAATATGTTTCGGAGTGAGCGCATTTTTACGATCTACGGTCATAACAATAAGCGAGTAGTTAGCAAATAACAAGTGAGACACTGGAATCGCATCTCTGCAAACCTTAACCTCCTTCAAGTCTCCTCTTCTTTCTACACATAAAAGCATTTGTGACAATCCCTCCCCACACGAGAGAAACAAATATGGCGCTATCTCAAACCTCTCTTAGGTGATAGTATCGACTTCTGATTCATTAAATCTTATCTTATACTTTATCGAAGTTATGCAAGCCATCATCATATTGACCCATCTCGGGGCAAATCCCAGTTTCAGCTCATTTGTTCCAAGAAATTTCAATCGACATGATCATACGCCTTATGCATATCAAGCTTTACTGCACACAAATCTTTCTTCCCTCTTTTCTTCCTTTTTATTGAATGAACTGCAACAATTCGGTGTTGAGGCTCATCTGCACCCGGTCAGAGAATAATTCAAAAAAAATTCAAAAAAGTTCATTTTTTTTGCATGGTAGATAATTTATTGCGTGAGCTCCGCTCCAATTTTCAGATCATTTGGACACCTGAGTAGCTCTCAGCAAAAAAAACAAATCGGATCAGAACAGTACATGAACAGTACACTATTTTACAGACCCTAAATTTGTCTTTTTACCGAGACTGATCAAATGTCCAAATGTTCTAAAAATTAAAGCGGACCTCATGCATCAAATTAGCTACTATGAAATTGTTATTTGGAATTTTTTAAACTTTTCTAATATTTGTTATGATTTTTTTCATCAGCGTGGGCGCAGATGAGTGTGTGGTCAGAAATGGATATTCGGAAATGTCTTGCTTTCGAGGCCTACGGACCCCTCTTCTTGATCAATCAAACTCTTCCCTTGTCTAGAAAAAAAAACTCTTCCGTTCCTTAAAAAAAAAACAAGCAACTCGTGCATGAAACGGAATCTAGCTCGTGTGCGTAGGTGCATGATCCGTGTCCGTGGCGTGGTTGGTACGCATGTACGTGTCCTAATTCCAGTGGTGTTCGGTGAGACCGTGAACATGTACAGTGCATTATATATGCAAAAAAGTAAGAGAGGGTCCGAAGCGAAACGTTCACACGTATACTCCACTAGCCAGTCCGGCCTTGATTGGATGGAAAACTCGAGCAACCACGGGGGCTCGCGGGGCTCCGGGCTTCCTTGCGATCTGGCCAGGTGCATTGGCGACCGCCTCGACGTGCTAGGGCGCATATGCTTCCGCGCCGTGTGCCGGTCATGGAGGGCAGCGCTCCCCGCCGGCCGCGTGACGTCCATTCCGTCCCCTTTAGTCGTCATCCCTGCTACAATACCGTGCCGCTCCTTGCCCCTGCGATCCATCGTCGACTCATGCAGCGGCACCACCACCACCTCCAACCCCTTAACACTCCACGCCGTCGGCTCGGGGCTGCGCTGCGTTGGCTCCAGCGGCGGGTGGGTCGCCGTCGCCGACTCCGATTCGGTTGTACGGCTGGTAAACGGCCTGACGCTACAGGTGGCGGCATGCTTGCCGCCGCTCCCGCGCAACACGGAGGTCCGGCGCCTGCAAGGCCTCGGCTTGGTCGACCCCTACTTCGCGTCCCAAGCTCCAGACGACTTCGACGACATGCTCCTCGGCCGTGAGCACACCATCCACAAGGTGGCGTTCTCGGTCAGGCCGCCGCGCGCGCGCGGGAGCAGCTACGCCCACAGCGCCGCGGCCCTCCACCGCGCACCTCGGCAGAGGCAGGGGCTGGCCTTGACATTCACCAGGGCCGGGTGGGACCGGTGGGAATGGCAGGAACCAGGCTTCTTCCCTGCCGGCGAGGACGAGCACTTCGACATCGCCTGCTGCCAACGATCCGGCGTGTACTACGTGCTGACGCCCGACTGGGTGTGGGTCCTGGACATGAGCGCGCCCGTCCCCACGCTGGAGCCCTTAGTGAGAATGAGCTGCGGCATGTCCCTCTGCAAGGTCACCTTCGGGGAACGTAGGCACGTCGTCATCTTGTCCGACGACGACGACGGCGGCGGGGCGCTCTCGCAGATGTATATGGTGATAATCCAGGAAATGCAGCAGCGGCGCGTCATTGTGCAAAGGTATACGGCCGGGGAGCCGTGGACCGTGGTCTCCGACCTGGGCGGCCGCGCCCTGCTCATCGCCAATCGCGCGCAGTCGGTGTCGGTACTCGGTGCTGCCTACGGCGTCGTCCCCGCCGTGGTTGAAGCGCGACTGCGTCTACTGGATGACCAGCGATGAGTACGGGTACGATAGCTGGGAACCCGAACAGGGGATGGTTCCCGTGTGGCGTTTCCACGTGCGAACAAATACCACGGACAGATTCGTACGGTCAAATCAAGAACAAGCTGGAGCTGACTACCGGGTGCTGGATTGGCACAACTCCCTTTGGCTTATGCCTTCGTTGACATGATGGATTATTTTACATTTATTACGATCTTTTTGTACTCCCTCTGTTTCCGAAATAATTGTCGCCGGAGATAACCAGTTCATTTTTCATCACGTTGTAATATTTCTCTGCTTTCCTCTTTTGCCCCTCGCACTCGCTCTCTCCCCGACAGGCCACCGGCTACCACTCGCCTCCTCCCCACCCCAGATTCGTCGACCTCACCCCGCCTACCGCCAGCTCCGACAACCCCCACCTTGGCGCTCATCCACGAGCTGGAGCAGCTGGATGAGGACGACCCATCGAGACCGCCTCTTCCTCCGGCGACCACGCCACCCAGCGCCACCAGGACGCCGCCGCACCACCACCGAGCTTCCAGCTCTCCCCGTCCCAATCGCCTCTTCCTCCGGCGACCACGCCACCCAGCGCCACCAGGACGCCGCCGCACCACCACCGAGCTTCCAGCTCTCCCCGTCCTAATCCCCTCCTCCGGCCGGCCGCTCCTCCCTCTCGTCGGTCAAAGGTGACATTTTTAGCAGCCGGGGTGCTCGATTCGTGGCGGCGGTGCTCGATTCGTGGGCGGCGGTGCTCGATCCGTGGGCGGCGTTGCTCAATCCGTGCTGGAGCAGCGGGAGGAGGAGGCCAGGGTGGAGATCGTGGTGCGGGAGGGGGAGCTCGGCGAGACGGTGGCGGCGGCGGTGGGGCAGCTCCGGTCGTCCACGCTCCTCGTCAGCCTCCACGACAAGAGCTTCCTCTACAGGTAACTGAATAAATTCAGCTATCTGAACTCGCTCGGAGCTGCCAGGCTATGAATTTGCTTCTGTTCTCGTGACTTTTTGTCAGACCGCCGAGCCCGTACGCCGGTGTGAGCTGCCTGGGCTGCCGGGCGCTCGCCGTCCGGCAGTAGACCACGGCGCGACACGGGGGCGGTGGAGGCCGAGCTCACCCAGCTCGAGACCATACGGTGGCAGTAGGAGACTGAGCACCATGTGGTGTGGGCGCCGGTTCAAAATCACTAGCGAGTCCTACTTCAACTGCAATGCAATGGTGAGCCTCACTTGCCATCCTCCCTCTCTTTTTCTTTTGTGAGAACTGCATTTCAGTTTGGAGTTTGCTCTGCTGTGTGTGAGCGAGAGGTACCATGGTGGCCAGCTTTAAGCTGTCCTGTGATTTTGTTTCCACCTAAATCGGCTATATGAACACTTCCTTGTTGTTTGTATACACCGTCGAGTCAAATTGCCTAGCTTGTTTAAATATGTGCAAGACTAGTATGGTCAGGAAATTGGTACTCCAGGATAATAATCCAGTTAGTTTCATCTTCTCTTCATGTTAATTTACACGAGAGGACCCCTGTTGCTGCAATTGATCAATCCAATGACAAAAATAAACTTACTTTTGGTTTGCTTGTCTGAAATGAAATGAAGTAAACTAAAGTGCAGCCCATCTTCACCTTTCCTTGCTTCCTTGTATCTCATTTCATTTGGTTTGCTTGTGTCAGGGAAAAGAAGCAAGGAGTACAAGGAACACACACTATGTCAACAGAGTAAGTGATCCCATATTCCCGTTGGATTGAGATACCTCTTTTTCCCCCATTATTACAAGCATGTGGACATTGTTCTCACAAAATCACATGGCAAAATGTTGCCACCTTGCCCTAGATGGCTCTATAAGTATACTCCCTAGGTGTAATCATGACAAGACTATTCTGTCATTCACACCTGTCACAATTTTCATTCTTATTTACTGTCAAGATTGTTGTCTTTCCTTACTGTTCGCTTCATTCATCAGGATACACAATTTGCAATTGGACAAATGGTGTACTCCAGTAATTTCTTCTGATGACAATTGTGAGGGTAATGATCTCGTTTGATTGAATGTCTCCTGATCTTAATGATTGAATTAATAGTCACAAGGTTCAAGATTAATTTTCAGTGACCAAGAAATAGCCGTATAAATTTACTTATGGTTTCACACATGCTCATGAACAAAATTTAGCAAACTGGGCCGACGACAGTCAGGTCATGCGCAATGATCAGCTTTCCGTTTTCATCCTCACTCTGACTAACAAACACTCATATGCATACAACTGTCTAAAAGAAACCAAGGGGGCTGTTACAAAGAAACACCAAGAAAGATGCAGTTACTTTTGCACAGTAACATCAATAGCAAGTGTACTCCTGCTTGCTCTTCTCTGAACAATGATCCACTGTTTTCAGTACTCCTTCAAGTAAACTAAATGAATCTTTTGCATTAGTTAACTCTAAATGAAACCTTTTCAGTTAATTTTAATTAACTGAAACTTGTTCTTTAATTAGAACTAAATTATTTTTTAGTAAATGAAATTTTGAGCTAGCTAAAACTAAATGAATTGCAGCAGGAGTACCCTCCTTCTCTTGACTTCTCTTCTCTTTTCAGCAAGTGCAACAACAATATGAGTAGTTCTTGGAGTAGTTTAGTTTAGTGTTTAGTGTAGGACTTGCAAGTACTCCTTGCTTGTAGGAGTGGCAGCACTACTTTCCTTGTTCTCTTCTCTAAATTCACTCATCTCTACTTTCCTTGTACTCCTTGCTTGAATACACAGTAGTTTTACAGCAGCAGTAGTTTAGTGTAGGACAGCAGTAGTTTAGTGTAAGTTTCAGTTCATTAACTGAATTTTTTCAGTTACTTAACTGAAACTTTTGTTTCAGTTACAGTAGAACTTCTCTTCTCTCTTCTTCTCTCTTCTCCTTCGCTTCTTGCATCTGTAGTTTAGTGTAGGGTTTATTGGAGTACTTCCCTTGTGCCCTCCATACTCCTCTGCTCTCCCACTCCTTTCCTCTCCTACTACTTTGCTTGTTCTCTTCTTCTCTAAATTCACTCATCTTCTCTCCTACTACTCTCTTCTCTTCTCTTTCATTTAAATGGAGTACTCCACACAAGCAAATGAAACTTTTGAATTACACATACACGTCTCACAAAATGGAGAAAAAATATATGGAGTAAAAATGATCACAAAATGGAGTTACACATACAAGTCTCACAAAATGGAGTATTACACATATGGAGTAATTTCACATGGGATGCACTCCGCACAAGTCTCATCTCAAGGAACTACACATACTCCACATCTGAACAAGCCTCATGTCAAGCATCTGAACAAGCCTCATGTGCATTAAAATTGAAGTAGAAGTAGAAGTAGAAGATGTTAAAATTCAGCAAAGTGCTTTCAAAAGCACTTAACTAATTTTTTATGCACCTATGTGCATTAAAATTCAGCAAAGTGCTTTTGAAATCACTTAACTGAATTTTTATGCAAAGTGCTTTCAAAAGCACTTAACTGACAACAACAATAACAACAAGTGGTTTTTGTTTGCTTGTTGTATGTCTATGTTGATGAGATGTTGAGATTTTATGTCTATGTTTTTTTGGCTTAGGATCTCCTCAAAGGAAAGGAAGATGGCTGTACTCACACCAGTACACCAGTGCTCTACACTACTGCTTGCTGCATCACAGCTCTCACACACAATGCCAGAAGATACAAAGTTAAAAAAAGGTACTCCGGGATAATAATCCAGTAAGTTTCTTCTAGTGTTGATCTTGCTTTGTTATTTTTCCGCTGATTTGTCAATCTTGCTTTTGTTTTCACAGGTGGACAGATGGACCTGTTCAAGTAAGTTTTCTTGGCCCTTGCCTAGCCTAGCCTAGCCTAGCTGCAGGAAAGGAAGGGGGCGATGGAGGTGGTGGCGGAGGCCTAGCCTAGCCCTCTCCACTGTGATGTGCTGTAGCTACACTTGATTTGAATTCTTTATCTAATTCTTGCCGGTCCAAGCAATCAAGATCATCATAGTCAATAACGGAGATGGTCCAACAACTATGTTTCTGAGTGAGCAGGCACAAAGGATGCCCAGCTATGTTTATCTGTTGACCACTGTATTAAAACCTGTAGGATATGTAGCCTCAAATGTTATGACCAAGACCAACTAACAAAAGCCTGAAACTGAATCTTGATACTCCTGCTACGTATACAATCAAGCCGAGAAAATAAATGTGTTGTCCATATGACATTTCACTATTTTATTTCAGTTTCAGAAATACACATTGATGGACTATGTCTAGTGTTTTTGTTTACTGAATTTCGTTTTGCTGTTTTACTGTGTCTCTCATTCTCTTTACCGTGCCTAATTGGACATGCTTACTCTTGATTATGCTCCAGTTTAGGTCTCGGTTGGTACTGCAGCAGCCTTGCCGGTCCAAGCAATCAAGATCATCAGCAAGTCAATAACGGAGACGGTCGAGCACTATCATCACACTGAACCTGCAACACCAGTGAGATGACTGAAGATTGGGTTGTGGTTGGAGTGACAGGAGAAGCAAATCACTTGACCAGTTGAATCCTTGTGAGTGCAACCCTATATTTCATTCCCACTTTGTTGTTGGCAAAGTGATTTGTCACTGTATGATCATCTGTTTCTTCAGTGCAACATTCTTCAAAGTATGCCATGAAAACTTCCAAAAGAAAAAAAGTATGCCATGAGAATTTGGTTATCTGATTTTTTCTTCTGCAGGGGTGTACAAGACGGCCGAGCTGTGGCAGGTGAAGGAGCCGCTGCCGCTGCTCGCGCCGAAGAAGCGCAACTGCTCCATGGTGTTCACCCTCAAGGAGATGGAGGAGGCCACCAGCATGTTCAGCGACAAGAACCTCATCGGCAAGGGTGGCTTCGGCCGGGTTTACAGGGGCGTGCTCAAAGATGGGCAGGTACGTTCAACTTCAGATGATGTTGTTGTTTTGTCTCTTGGTACAGTTTTCAGATTACTGAGTATGGGCAGAGTCTGAACACTTCAAAAGCAAATACGTCCCTTAATTTTAGAAGATTGTGGTGTTTTTGTCATTTAGCTTTATGTGTGTTTTCCAGATTATATTAGTGTTAGCACCAATGATTCTGTTTGGAAGAGAACTTCCTCTTTGGTTTGATACACATACATTATTTAACTGTGATTTAGAGTTATGATTATTTGATGTGGCGAACATAGAATCCTGCCTGCGCATTTTGTAGCAAGACTCCTGTGATTATTTTGTACCCTGAATTCAAGTAAATTAAGTTGCCTGTACCAAGTTGAGTATTTAGTTCGATGAGTAATTTTCTGTCCGGAGATGGTGAGCAGAGCATAAAAATGATTGCTTATCTGTATACTGCTGCGTCCCTTAATTTTCTGTACCAAGTTGAGTATTTAGTTCGATGAGTAATGTTCATGGTACCCCTTTTGTGCCAATGAAAGATCTTCCTGTCAGAGAGGGCTTAAGGATCTTCCTGTCAGAGGAGTACATTTGTTTGACAGGAGTATTTCAAGATCAGTACATTATTTTTATTTGACAGGAGGGCTTAAGGACCTACAGTATCATGGTGATTTCATATCAAAATTGAGGAGTACTCCTGTTCATTTGGAGAACTCAAACAACAATTGATATCCATCAAAATTGGGATCAACAGTAGCATGGGGCCTTATCATTCTGGTTTTTGGATGACTTAGTTAATCAAATTCCTCAATTGAGGAACACCTGAACTTGTCATTCCGGTCTTGGGATCAACAGTAGCATATGGACTTATTATTCTGGTTTTTGGATGATTTAGTTAATCAAATTGACATCAATTGACCTGTTTTTTGGATCAATTGCAGATTCTCTTGATTGGAGTGGAGAGGAGCAGAGACGAGAGGAGCAACAGAAGTGGACAGCGCAGCGGCTGACCTTGAGCTCTTGATTGGAGTGGGGGGAGGCGGCCGACGAAGGATCCGTGGCCAGCAGCGAAGGATCCGAAGTTGTGGCGGAGCAGGCAGCCGGCAGGAGGGGCGGCCGGCGAGGGAGCTGCGGATCTTGGCGCGGAAGGGCGGCCGATGAGGGAGCTGCTGACCACGGCGGGGAAGGGCGGCCGGCCGGCGAGGGAGCTGCGGACCGCGGCGGGAAGGACACCGAAGATGCGGGCGCCGGAGGAGCCCGGCGAAAGGGAGCAGCGACGGCGGAGAAGCCTGGCAAAGTGGAGGAGCAACGACGGAGGAAGACGCTCAAATCGGGGGTAGTATTGTACTTTCACACTATTTCACCTGGTCAGAATGATGCCCCCAATGACAATTATTTCGGAACGGAGGGAGTAATTCGTAGTTGCATGAGAATTTCATTGTTCTTGATCGGCGTCGAGACTTTTGATCTCAGGTTGAGCCTCAACACTCTTGTAACCAGGATGGCAGTTTTGCCCATTGATATGGGTACCGTGGGAATCCTACCCGAAAACAGCAGGCATGGGCAAGAGTTAGCAATATTTTATAGATGAAAAATATATTTATATCAATATGTAATAGGTATTCTTACCCGCAAAATATATGGGTAGGACATGGGTATGAATTTACGTTCATGGATAACCCAATGAATACCCAGAAAAAGTTAATAAATGAAAATAACCCATATGACATGTGTGGTCGACATTCAACCCCCATGGTGTACCAATATATCCCTTATTCCCTAAACCAACAATAGCTCATAGGACTACAACCACCAACTAGCCACTCCTACATCCTATGCGACTCCTTCAAATGAGGAAATATCGACTCATCATCACGGAACTCTTGTCCAACTAGCCATCCTGAGTTCCCACCACCGCCTTCAAATGTGTCGGGATTCCACCAACTGCTACTTGTACACCCTTGCCACCTTCTAGCCCACCCACTGTAGGAGCCCTTTTCAGTGCTACACTGCTCGCCTCTCACCACTTAAATTATAGACTCATTTCACTAAAAAAAATTAAATGTGAATCTATATATTGTACCCACTAGGTACCAATTGGGTATAGGATACACGATGGGTATGGGCATGAGTATCAATTTATACCTATGGGTATTGAAGTGGATGAGTATAGAAAGTTTCTATGGGTATGGGATTGGGTAGAAGGGGGTTGTACCCACCCATACCCTACCCATTGCCATCCTTACTTGTAACTTGAGAAGAAACAATACTACATCTTTCTTACAAGTTATAAGATCCGGTGCTTGTCACTACTAGAATCGCACCCTACGTCGAGTGCCTGGAACACTCAGCAAAGGGTCTAAAACCCTCCGCAAAGTGTTTGCTAAGAGTTGCACTCAGCAAAGGCCACCTGGCGTACACCACTCAGGCAAACATAAATTTTCCGAGAGTCAAAAAGTGCCTCTCGGCAAAATAAAGTAACTCACGAACGCCAGACGGATACAGAGGTTGCCACGTGGTGTCACTTTGCCGAGAGCCACGTGTACAACTCCTGACAGGTGGGTCCCGTAGCAAACTCCGAGTGCCTTCTTTGCCGAGAGTTGCCCTCGGCAAGCATAGCCAATAGGAAAAGCCGCGTGTCCGGCACCTGACAGGTGGATCCCGCAGAATAGGCTGAGCGCCATCTTTGACGAGAGCCACCCTCAGCAAAGTAAGCCAATAGGAAAAAGCCACATGTCGACCACCTGACAGCCTGGTTCCGCAACATACGTCGAGAGCTTTCTTTGTTGAGTCACGCACGACAAAGCCAACCATTAGGAAACAGACACATGGCTACCACCTGACAGCCAAGTCTGTAGTTTGCCGAATACATGCTTGCAATAGGCTCAACTCTCACGTGACCAATCTTTGGATAAATCCTTGAATAGCACCTTGGTCAACACATATTCTTCTTCTAATAACCTTGAAACCAACAAATGGTTTTCAAGCAATACCTATGGACAAACCCTTCAAATATAACTCAAGGCAACCATTAGTCCATAGAGATTGTCATCAATTACCAAAACCAAACATGAGGGCACCACATGTTCTTTCACATGTGAACGTCAACTACATAATATTTCACCATACTTGGGCCTAAGGGAAGGCATTGTGGAGTAATAAGTAGATGATGGGTTGCTAGAGTGACAGAAGTTTAAACCCTAGTTTATGTGTTATTCCGTAAGAGGCTAATTTGGATCCATATGTTTCATGCTATTGTTAGATTTATCTTAATTCTTCTTTTGTAGTTGCGGATGCTTGCGAGATGGGGTAATCATAAGTAGTAGGCTTGTTCAAGTAAGAACAACACCCAAGCACCGGTCCACCCACGTATCAAATTATCAAAGTAGCGAGCGCAAATCAACTAAACATGATAAAGTGACTAGAAGATATTTCTCATGTGCCCTTGAGAATGATTTTGATTATTATAAGAGACCGTTTCGGCTTGTCCTTCACTGTAAAAGGATTGGGCCACCTTGCGCACCTTTGTTACTATTGCTACTTATTACTTGTTACGAATTACCTTGCTATCAAACTATGTGTTACCGGTACTTTCAGTACTTGCAGAGAATACCTTGCGGAAAACCGCTTATCATTTTATTTTGCTTCTCGTTGGATTCGACACTCTTACTTATCGAAAGGACTACGAATGATCCCCTATACCTTTGGGTCATCATGCCTTGAAGTGTGTGCCATGTCTTCGGAAGATTCCATCTTGGATACTTCATGGGGCCCAACGAATGTGGCCCGCTGGTTGATAGTTTGGGGGTCCTCGGCCCAACCCATCCTGGAGAATCGATGTAGTTAGCACCTCCCCCCTCTCTCTCTCTCTCTCTCTCTCTCTCTCCATCACCATCAACCAGATGAATGTGATCAGACATATAGGAAGGAAAGTGGAGGGCTTGTTTGCATGCACGGACAGATGAGGGCTTGAAGTCGACACGCCTAGACAGTGTCAGGACATGTTCGCGAACATATGGGGGTTCAGATTTGCTCAATCCAGTTGTGGATGCTCTAAAGGATAGCTCACTGGCTATGTAATGATGAATTTGTGTATGCACATGTTTGTACCATGTTTTTCTTGAGGTAATTCACCTCTGCTACATTATTGAGGGATGAAGCACCACATACACATAGCTTTGGTCTTATATAACTTTTTTATTGTGGCGGTGTATTTTTGTGTGTCGTGCATTGGTGTTGAATGTGTGCATCCTAACAGTGTAGATGCCTCATGTGTGCTCATATATTTTTGTATCCTCTTGATTCTCCAATTTGAGCCAATAAAATTAACATTTTTTTGAAGTATCCGCTTATATGGTCTAATGTTTCCACCCATGAGCCCTATGTTAATATTTTGGGAAAAGGTTAAGTGATGTAGCACTACTGTAGGATGCTGCTAACATGACACTACGATCAAAGACCCTTCGACGAAACTGTGTGCGATGCAATAATCGCAAACGGTAGTGTAAAAAACCCGTCAAAAAAGGTGTAAAATGTTTGCGATAGAAGAGACATCAAACACGGTTCAGATTTTACTTGCGTGTGCGATGCTGGGCATACA